GCACTGTGTCTTATATTCTGCTACTGCTGTCTACTGATATGTCTTATATTCGGCTACTGCTGTCTACTGATATATGTCTTATATTCCGCTACTGCTGTATACTGACTGCTACTTCTTATTTTCTGCTACTTATAATTCGCTACTGCTGTATACTGCTACTTCTTATAATTCGCTACTGCTGTATACTGCTAATTCTTATATTCTGCAACAGATTCGACGGGGTCAGACGTACGATGACCGTCACATCATGGCGAAACACGCGATGATATATCCCAATGAGAAAGAGCTGCAGGCAGTACAGAGCATTGTCACTGCCACTGAGAAGGCCCTAAAGCTCATCTCTGACCAGTTGGCAGAACAGTGAGTAGAGACCGAGCAGTACGCTAAATTTGTGAATGAGTATTTATGCATTTTGTGTTTATACGTAAATCTGTGTCAATGGTTATTTGAAGTAAAATGCACCAGTGCTAGTAGTAATCAAATTAATCACTTGCATTGCACAAATATTCACTTGAGAAACTACAGTTGTAAGGTGTTGTTTAAGGGATGCACCAAAAGAAGAACCACCAAAAGAAGAACAAGCAGAGGAACAAGAGGAGGGCAAGCTTCAGATAAAAAAAGATATTAAAGTAGAGACAGAGAGTGATGTGGAAGAAAAAGACGATAACAAAGCAGAGTAAGCTATGCCTTGCAAGCAGAATGTTATGGAATATGTGTTTCTATTCATGTAATATTCAAATGCTAGATAAAAACATTGAGTCTATTGTTATTTTTCTCGGAACCAAATTCTCTATTTCCACAGTAAGCAGCATAAGGTAAAACGCGCTCCTCGGCACATCTCACTTCATCTCTATCTAGAGCTACTTATCTGCTTCTACCTATCATCTCTGTGTAGTTCTGCAACCCATTATATCCTGTGTGCTGCCCTGCTTCCACCCTCGTTGTCACTGCCATTATGTATGCGCAGTCTGTCCCCGGTGTCCTGGTTGCTTGTCTCGTTACGTCCTGGTTCATCATGCCTCGTTTATGCAATGACCCAATTAACCTTATGCATGATCTCATGCTTGGGGGCTCGTTGTCAGAAACGAAATGAATCGTAACATTAACTTTATCTCATGGACCAACTCGTAGCTTAACAATGCTTCTGATATTGGTCTACGAGGCAAAAGTTAATGTTGAGACTAATTTTGAGACTATTTTTACCTCCGCCCAACGAAGTTGGAGGAGGTTATGTTTTCGCTCTCGTGTGTTCGTGTGTTCGTGTGTTCGTGCGATCAATATTAGCGCGGCGGTCGATCGATATCACCCAGCGAGTCAGCAAGCCAGCGAGCCAAGCGAGCCAGCTCGTAACACATACATGTTACATGGGAGCGTGTACATGTTAGTACGCTGGCGTATATCGTGGGTTGTTCGTGATTCGTATGGCGTATGTCGTTGGCGGAGGTATGCACTCCGTGAGTGCACTCTGTCCGGTTGTTTCTGTTAGCCGGCCCGTGGTTAGCGATGATGTGTGTAGAGCTCGGGTGTGTGTGAGCCTGGGATGAATGCCTTCGTGTGTAGGGAAGATAAAGAAATGCTTGTTGTCCCCAATAATTTGTTTCTGACAACTCGTCTCTTTTTCTCACGCGCGTGTGTCACGGTTCTTGATCGCCTCTCGTCTGCGTTTCAGTGAGAAAAAGGAGGAGGAGGACCTGAAGCCACGCGCGCTCAAGGGTGTGATGCGGGTCGGCGTGCTCGCCAAGGGGCTGGTGCTGCATGGCTGCCTCGACGTAGAACTCATCCTGCTGTGTGGCGAGAAGCCCAACAAGTCTCTGCTGTCGAGGGTCGCCAAACTACTGCCCGAAAAGCTGGCGGTGAGTGCCGCGTGCGCCTGCGCTTATTTTTAAAAACTGTATATCCAGACAACTGGTTGTACTTTAATCATTTTGTTCTGCATAACTGCTGCCAAATGAGATGGCAAGAAATGCACGAAAAACTTTCCTGTTTTTACTGCGCCCTAATCTCTTACGATAAGCACCACATCTAGCACATATGATGGTTAACTGTTGCAACCGTGTTTGTCGGCTTTCCATCATCCACGAGTGTACACCGCGACGCGCTAGCGTGAAGCGCGCGCTGGCAGCTGTGGCTTGACCACTGGTCTGAGCAGGCTTGCACTGAGCATGCGACGTGCGTGCGTGGCGTTAACGTGATGTGATGTGAGCTGTACTCGTGACCGCGGTGTCGTTCTCTCGCGGCGTTCAGACGGTGACGGAGGAGAAGTACGAGATGAAGCTGTCGGTGCGAGACGCGGCCATCCTGCTCGCCTCGAACGTCGAGCCGAAGAGCTGCGTGAAGCTGACCCTCACCTCGCCGCTGATGCGCACGAGCACTGACGAGCCTGAGGACAAGCAAGGTCGGTTACGCGTCCCTCCGCCCCGGGGGAGTGTGACCAGAGAGAGGGACGCGTGGTGGGTTACTCACTCGATGTTCTCTCTGGTCAGACCCCCCATGCTGGTGGGGCTGGTCGCCCCATCGGGGATGTTTTCTGTTCGGATTTTGCGGTTGTGTAGTCAGAGGAAAGTGATGAGTTTACGTTTGCGATGTAGCTTGTGACGGCTTTGAGGGCTCAGAGACTTATTGTTTTCTGTTTCGTTTCTGATCCTGCAGAACTGTGCTGTATCTGTGAAACTAATATTAAACTATAGCATAGAGAACTAGTATACAATATAGATTTAAGACTGTATTACCACTGTCGAGTGTTGTATTGTCCAGTGAGTTCAAGAAATGGTTATATTTTTCCAGCTGATATCATTGAAATTCTGAATGCAATCGGGCAGTAGTGGAAAAGTTTCAGGGCTCTCTGGGGGAATGTAAACCTTATTGCCGGCAGATGGCTAGACATGGTGTTCGCTCTTTTTGTAAAGATTGCTGGCCAAATGTTGATATCACTGACATCACTTTTCTCTGACTGAATGTGATTCATTTAAAATGCAATTTGTTTTTTTCGCGATGGATACACGAGCATCGTGTCTTATAACTTCCGGATTACTGCCTCTTCCAAAAGATGTGGTTTCAGTTAGGATTATGTAAATAATACAGATATGCCTGCTTCTCCTTACCGATTCACGGTATTTCGTTCGGATTATATTGGATTATAGTAATATACGGTCCATAAGTTCTATTATTTCGTCTCTAAGTTGAAATATGACATTCATGACGGAGGGCTAATTTTAGTATAGCTGTTGTTTGCATACATGGTGATCCTAGCCATTTCATTGTTATGAATGGGTTGCATAAATGTGGAGGTAAGTGGTGGTGTTATTCTTTCATGATGAACTAATTTTGAACATATTCTGTTCGTTTCTGGCAGCATGTATTTTGACTGGCTGCCAGTCTAATACATTTCGCTGTTTGTATTGTAGAGTTGTATGTTGGGAGACGATGGATTTTTGATCATTCAGGGGCAGGTGTGAACTTGAACCAACAGCTAATTGCCAGTTCACTAGCCAAAGCCTTCTCGCTCAGTCATTCTCCAGCCTTCCTTATATCAGATCACCCCTTCCCACTTCTCTCCATTTTTCCCAAAGTGGAACCTTCTGTTCAGTTTGTGTTGTGGCATAATACTCTACCCCTACACGTCTGGTTATCTTTACCAACTAAACCTTGTGCTAAGTTTATACGTAACTGCAACACAGTACGCTGTTCCTTCACCTCTGACTGCCCTCAACACTTACCTGTGTGTTTATGCCGTAGCTATACTGCTCTGTCCCTACAATGTTAATCCCCTCTAATAGCTGAACCATGCATTCAGTATATGCTGCGCCCAGCCACACGAGTATACCCCTACGTCTCAAATGAGCTCTAACATCTGGGTTTTTTTGCTCAGTAAATATATGCTTTTACCTTTATACTTTACTCTCTCCCTACACCACGAATTGCCTATTTAACTGAAGTTTGGCTTCTCTGTCACTACACCTGTAATTCCCTATAACTGGAACACCTTTCATTCAGTTAAAACAGCTGCCACACTACTCTGTCGCTTGGCCACGAATCCTATGGGCTATAACTGCAAAACTCTTGATATGGTTCATGCTGCAGCCAACTACTCCCCTTTCAGTGCTAATCCCCTCTAAACAGCTAAACGTCTTGCGCCAAAGTGTGCAGCTAGCTCTTTGTTTTTCTGTCCGGCCAATTTTCTTTCCTGACAATGTTGATCCGCTGCCGTTCCCTGTCGTTTGACCGATTACGTCCTGGTAACGGATGCGGTGGTCTTCTCACTGCCCACTGCATTCCTTTCCCATCTTCTCGACGCTTCTTCCTGTGCTGGTGACGGTCAAGGTGGGTTCCTCCGTGCCCATCGCTGCTGGTGAGAGAAACCTGCTCTGATGGTCAAACACCCATTCCGTTGTAGCTACTCGAGCGAAAGAGCCATCGGACCTGTTGGATAAGCAGAAATGCCAAGATGCTCTCGCAGCGCTACGTCACGCAAAGTGGTTTCAGGTTTGAACTTTTGCTATTATACTTTGCAGCCTTATGTGTAAGCGTTGTTGACGTACCGTTGTGCCTAGTCCCAGTCCCTTCTACGCACTTCACCAAAAAGGTGTCAGTTTCTCTGATGTACAAAGCTCACAGTTGAAGGGAGGGTTTGCAAGAATAACTATTGGCTCCGAACACGACACAGCAACACGTGGATAGTAGTCCTTAGCTACATTAGCTCGCGAGCGCATTTACTTCATCTATTGAGTAGAATTGCAGGTGTGTAAAGTGGTAGCATTATATATCAAATTGAATTTCAAGTCAGATAATAGTTGTAATCACAAAATTGTCGAGAAAAGCAACAAAATAAACTCTCATAAGATGTAAAGAAAGGAGGTGTAATTTCACTGAATTCGTGTTTCTTCTCAATTTAACTCTCACATGACGTCTTGCGGTTTGCATCATTGACGGATTGTTGTTTGGTATATCTTGAGAGATTCACAAATGCACATAACAGTACACTGCAGCGCCAGTATTTGAGACTTTGTTGGTGAAGTTGGCCCGATCAGCCCCCCTTATCTACTGTATAGTGAGTGAAACCACTGTGTAACATGAGGCTGGAAAGTGCGCTGTGGATGATTTGCTGTGGCCCAGCTTGCCTCTAAACACCTCGGCGACAAACCTTAGCAGAGTATTCATGCACTGGCCTCTTGTTCGTTACATTGCCTGTTCTCACTCGATGGGGAAAGGTGCAGCGTGCAGGCAGTGTGTCATGCTTAGCGATGTTCACTTGTTTCTAGTGACTCGGTGATCGCGTTTCGCACACCACGCGAACGGGTATCCCGATTTCATTAATCCTCGTGTGAACAAGTGAGCATCAGTATCTGTAACACTGAGCTTGTACCGAATTTGCCAAGACTGTTGTTCTGTAAGAGGTTTGTCACAGAAGAAGTAAGCTGAGTTTACATCCAAGCTTGGGGGAAGACGTGGTAGTAGGGTCAGATGGAGCTTTGCACGTGTATGTGACTTTGTAATGTGGATCGGCAGCCTCAGGCTATTTCCACACGAATGCGTACGTTAAACCCGTGTAAACGTTCTTCGACTCCCACTATAAAGCGCACGTGCATCAGCTCCGAAGGTTTGCGGGCCACGAGTTAGGCATGTGTGCCGGTTTCGCACGCAGGCGGTTTTTGCGTGCAGAGCGGCGACGGTTTCCGGGATCGGTCGAGTATTAGATTCGTGCGTGTTTGCAGGCAAGAGCGAGTGGACTGCAGTCGTGCGTCATCGTCATCCGCATCCTGAGAGATCTGTGTGACCGCGTTCCAACCTGGAAGTCTCTGAATCCTTGGGTGAGTGTGGGAGTGTGGGACGCAAGCTTCGGCGATGCTGTGCCCGTGAAACGCTCGCTATTACAGATTGCTAGCGTAACTACGCGATAGATATTGTTGGTGTTAGGATGAAGCATCGGTCAATCTGTTGGAGAAAGTTGACAAAGTTGACACTTGCTAGAAAGACGCAGTGTTGTCAAGGCATGAAATTCAGATTTTTTGCACCGGGACAGAGGGCTGGTAACAGCAGTTTTTTTACCAGCCCTCACAAATTTTGTTTGCTGTTGTATTTGCCAATGTCATGTTTCACGCTTGCATTTTCGATTTCAAATTTGTAAAATATTGATATATTACGGCGTGATATCCTTCAGGTAAAACAGTAATGGGGGCTATTTGGTATAAATTTGCTATAAGCTGGTAAATTTGCTATCAATAAAAGTGTACGTACTCGCTAACTCGCCTGAAACCACCGGCTCGGAGGGCTGGTGTTTTACCAATGTTACTGGCCCTTCAAATAATTTGCCGGCATAAGCCGGTGGGCCGGTGCTAATTTCGCGCCCTGGTTGTTATTCCATGCGTGCCACACGAAATTCATTCACTCCACCTGTCCCGTGTCCACCAGTACATGGTGTGGTTAACTAATATTGTGTCGTGGATGTTGCAGGCGCTGGAACTTCTGTGTGAACATGCCATCAGTAGCGGTGGAAACAACATGACACCGGGCGATGCCCTTCGACGGGTGTTTGAGGCGCTCGCGTGTGGAGTTCTCCTTCCTGGTAGGTAATCGGATGCACTATCAGTAGAGCAACACTACGCTGTACTAGTCCATTTAGGTCCGTAGTCAACTCGCCGCGTTTATATAGCAGGGTTCGTAGCAGGTCTTCCAAAGTCTTATAAGTACTTATTTTGCCAAAAATAAAATAAGGGCCCTTATTAGTACTTATTTTTGGTAAAATCTTAGAAAAGTACTTAATAGTCCTTATTTTTTTATAAACTGTTCTCGACTTAGTGTAAGAATTGTTGTATATATAATACGGAATAATTAAATCTGCTGTGCAATTGTGTATATATAAATATTATTAGTGATCTTAGTCGGTGATCTATCAAAAATCGCGTAAAAAAAGTCTTATTTTGGCCATGTGTCTTACTACTATGAACCCTGTATAGATTAACTGTTATTAGACTATTCCCAGTCCATATTACCCTAGTCCATTATTTAGTCTATTCCCAGAGCATTTTATATCATCGAACAGTTTATGTACGATGCCAGTATCAACTTTTATCTCATCCTTCTTTGTAGAGTAGTAGCTTCATATGCATCTTAATGACAGCTGTGAATAGAACCTGGTATTAGTGGTGAGCAGAAGGTGCCAAAATTGAATGAACAAGATGGCAGCAGTCGGGTAATGGATAAACGGTGGTCCGGGAAAAGTGATCACAAGTGCAAAAAGTAGGGGGGCACCTGATGCTGTCAAGTAACGCATGCTGGGTGTTGGGATTGCTACCAAATCTATTTGACATTCTATTTGTGTGTTATGCTATGGGTGTGTGTTATGCTATGGGTGTGTGTTAACTAGGGGTAGGATGATACAGATGGCTCACGTTACGATCCGTGTCATGTTACAGCATTCACGACACGATACGTGTCCCGATACTTTCAAGAGAAACTCTAGCAAACTATACACTCAAGGGTACTCTACCAGTCATGTGAACGATTACAAATTAACAACGTGGAGCAGTTAGTAAACAAATACAGTGAAATTGCGAAGTGTATGTTTCTTTTGTCTTTGGATGAAACTACTCTACTAAATGATATGGATTTTATCAAGAGCTAATAAACACCTTGAGTGTACAACGGAAAAACGGGAAAATAGTGCTATTTCACGGCAATATTATTCTACTTTGCTACATCCTGTGAGTCTAGAATAATTTTCTGGTATTGCATTAAGCAGAATTCTTTGCTCTCTAAAACAAGACCAACTGCTTGTCAAAACGATACTCCTAGGCTGAGATATTGGCTCGTAAACTTCCCCTCCCACAGGCCTCACGGCACCTCGCATCCACAATATTCACTATCACTCTTGCCTTTTGCGGGTTAGGAAAGTCGCTTCGTGGGAGTTCGGTTTTTCCCGCGATAACTTTATGAATGAACGGCGTTTCGGTTATCATCGGTGACTTTCGGGAGCATCGCCGGGGTCATCCCTATAGACCGGGGTCATCCCCTGCGTATCAATATGTGTATCGTGAATGGTCAAACTTATTGATACATGTATTGTCAAGGTTTGTATCGTGATACGTCGATGTATCATTGAATCGTCCCACCCTTAGTGCTAACGTAGTGTAGTGTTGGGCATGTGTGGCTGTGTGAATGTGTGAATGTGACGTGGCTTCACGATTCGTTGCAGGCGGTCCAGGCCTGCTGGATCCGTGCGAGAAAGAACCAACCGACGCGGCCGGCAACCTCCAGCAGCAGGAGAGAGAGGAGATCACTGCTAGCGCCCAGGTATTGATTGATTGATTGATTAGTTGATTTAGTGACTAGGTGAGCACTTTTTTAGGGTAAACCCAATTGGTCAATGCATATACAATAGTAATATCATGTATCACAATTACATACTTCACGTGTGTAAACAGTATGAATAGATAAGATATGCGTGCAAAAAGTGTGATTGTCATGGGCATTTATTTCTATTGCGGTCCTTACCACAAAGTTAGGTAAAGTAGCATGCAATGAAGGTAATAGAGGCAAAAGTATTTTATCAGTGCTATTTCATTCCAGCTCCACCTTCTTTGCATAATGATAGTTACAACTTGAAAACGCTTATCGCAGTTTGCAATTCGTCATGCCCAGTATATGGTGGTGGCATCATGTTAGCATTGGCATTTAGATCACAATTCAAGATTTTACATGTTAGTTTCCATTTCATCCCAGCATGTTTGCATTATATTTGCAGTTTGCGCTGAGGCTGATAGCGTTCAGGCAGATCTACAAAGTGCTGGGTATGGATCCGTTGCCAGCACCACGGTTCAATCGTAAACTTGGCGCCAACACACGCAAGCGCAAGGCCGACGGCAGTGCTCCCGAAACTGAAGGTATGAATGCTAGTGGGGGAGTTTGATATTCCAGTGTGTAGCTTCTTAATTATCTGAGACGTCTCGTTCAGTCATGTTTTCGAAGAAGTTTCGATTACAGATTCGAAGCACATTACAGAAATTTAGTGAACGTACAGGGCAAATCAACTGTTGAGCTATGTATGTATGTGTATGTTTCTAATGATAAAGTATGGTAATGAACGGTTTCAGAAGCTGGCAAAAAAGAGAAAAAGGAAGGTGAAGTTATGGAGACTGCTGCAACCACAGCCTAAGTGTGTTGTCATGGCCACTCGTGTTAATTAACTGAAAGAAGTCTGTTTATTATTTACGTTTCACGTAAACATGGTGGAAAAATTTAGAATTCTTTGATAGATATGATATACGTGCATATTTTGTTCCTAATTCCTGTCGTGTTTAACTGCTTTTTGGATAAAATTCTAAAAATAAAGTGATGTGATTACACTTCTTTTTAGCTCTGTCAGCATTATGTAACAGGCATATATGTAATGACATGGCAGAGTAACATGATGATCCAAAGTTAGTTGGAACATCAAGTACTCGGACGCATGTGACTTTGTTCTTTCAGTGCCTATTATTTAACATATTATTTTTGCTCGACGTAACACGATATTAGTATTAAGATGTTGCATACGTTCGTACAAGTGTGCATGTGTTAAGTGTGCAGGTAAAAATGACACATTCTGATAAGATATGGAAAGAAGGTGTTGACCGAATGCCCTGTCCTATAACAGGTATAAGGTCAGAAGGTAGTGGATGATGAAAATGTTTGTACAAGTGTATGTTAAGTGTGCAGGTATAATTACTGATTATAAAAATTAATGAAATGAGGTGCTATCCGAATTCCCTGTCTACTAAGGAAGTTGATTAGGGAAATGAAGAAGACCAAGAAAAAAATTATTTCCTAATGAGTCAAATTATGCACTTGTATTATATTCTATGTCAATGCTATTCGTTCAAGACTCCATTCAGTTGTACGGAGTAGAAGTGTGTTAGTTGTGTGATCAGAACATTCATTTGCAGATTGTAGCATTTGCAGGCATTTGCAGATGTATCAACTGTTTAGGCCATTTCATGTATAAATGGAAACAGAAACGTATTTTGTCTTGAGACTAGTAGTTTGATGTATTAAGAAGAAATATAGTTACGCTTGTGTGCACTACACTATTTGTTATAATATTAAATATTAGTAATAAACAGCCAATTGTTTGGCATGATCGTACATTTGTTTCTAAAACATTCAGAAATTGTTTCATTGGGTAAACTTGAACATAAAAGTTGTACTAAAAGAATGTCAAATTCGTTTGCGAGTTGTGTATTTTTGCTAATAACTGAGCATTGAAGCTGGTTAACAAGTTCCCTTACTGAGGGTGCCATCTTCCAATCCTGTTGCTGTCTATCGTGCTTCATTGATTTGTGTGGATGCCGCGTGTCTTGATGCTTATGTAAATAAAAGTTATTGCAATTCTGCTCATTAAGATTCCTTTAGTACCAGGTTAAATGCATAGTGGAAGTATTATTTGAATTGTTGCTTCCTGAAAACTACACGGTAGGTGAAGAAGAGTTGCAATGCTCAAAATGTCCATATTGGATAGAATGCACATGGTATTTAAATGTGCTAATTTCAATATAAACTAACTAGATTATGTAATACGAAGACAAAATAAATGAGATTGGCGTATAGATAAATTTGCTTCGATTTTATTGTGTACTTGCGTTATCATTCAAGATCATATTCGTCAGATACAGGGATGAGAATTGTCTGCCGATTTGACAGCCGCGTGAATCGTGCAAATGTTTTAAAATATTTAAGTTTAATTATTATTATTTATTTTTTTAGTGCAAACGTTTAATGTATATATTGTTAGCCATTATGTACAGTTGCTAGATTAGCAACAAAAAGTCATGGGGAAGGCCTCAAATCTGTTGTTAAAATAATATATTACAAGTATGGCTTTTGCAAATACCTAAATTGAGCTGGGATGTATCTCCACATGGCCTAAAGATGCCGTTATAGTCCATTTTTCTCAAAAAAATTATGGGGGGGAACCCCCAGCCCTTTCCCCACTTGGCGGCTACGCCGCCTCGTACTTGTCCTTCGTTATCTTTTCCTCTGTTTTCCCTTCTTGCTGTTCTCAACCCTGCAGATAAGGTTACTGTGATATTGTGTTAATGATACAACTTGTAATGTGGTTAATGTGATATGTACTACAATGTCTATCATCAGGGGTTAATAATGACATGTCATTAATGATTTAACAATTTGTCATTATTAACCCCTGATATCATGTCTGTAATAAATCCTGGCTGTAATCATGTACATTGTGACGATTTGGCTAGGCAAAAACTGACAGAATGTCAGAGAACTGCAAGCAATAATGAACACTGCAATAAATAATAATAATAAATAATAAATAATAATATATAAATAATAATAATAAGAACACTGCAAGCAATAATGATTGTCATCATCTAATAGAACACACATTGAACAGTATATATACAGTGCAGGGGTAGAAATTGACTTTTGAACAAGGGAGTCCAATGGACTCCCTACCCTCAAAAAGAGGGAGTCCGCAGTCTAAAGTTCAAAATTAAAGATATTAACAATAAGTTTCATGTGGTTGCACGTCTGCCAAATTTTCTTTGCACATTTGCTGGAATGCTGTGCTCTGGAACAAACTAGTTAGTATAGCAGAATTTTCAGGGAGTCACACGGACTTGCATATGTCAAATCAGGGAGTCCGACAGTAAATCGTGGAGTATTTGACTCTGGTCGCATTAATTTCGCACATTTTGTTAGCAAGTAAAATAAAGCGAAAGCTTTCAGTGTCAATAATTCATCAACAGGTTTACTATACAAGTGACGTCTGATGTACAAACATGTACACAAATATACAGGAAAAGCACACTTCATCATGTGAATGGCAAAAATGGCCGAATTGGCTGAATTGGCAATTTCATTGATTAATGGGAAGTCAGGAAATGTCCTCATTTACATTTGGTGTAACTATTTATATTGCATATCACAACGTGCTGGACTGAAATCTATGGTCTAAAACTCGCAATCACTTTTCTGTAAAACATGGCACGACTGCATTTTGGATGAGAGTGCATCCAACTCACAACTTTCCAATATTATTAAATGAATGATGTATTTTTTCACTATGATTAAACATATTGCTGTGGAGTTAACAATTGTGCCCACAAGCTGCCATTACTGCAGTTGCATCTGGTTACAATATATTAATGCAAAATATAGCTTGCATTAACATGCAATGCTCTCATTCATTGAAAGATAGCAAAAAGTGTGGCTGTGGTACGATAAATCCCAGAAAGTACTTAACCCCAGTAGCCAGATGGTGTGACATTAGGTCTCTGCTGGTATGCCATTTGATAATAATATGCTATTGCCGCTTGAGGGCTCATGACAAAATTCCTTGACATCCCTTGAAACTGGGAACAATTTGGCTGCATCTGTCTATATGGCATGCCAGCTCCAGGGATGCTCTGTCCTAAAAGGTAATTTTGCCCCAAAGACACGGCCTGCGGGAGTCTGTTTTGGCGAGAAAGTGTTTCGTAGGATGAATCTGCTGGTGACTGTTGTAATTGTCTTGCCTTTACGATAAGTGATCGTCCACACAGCGTCACATTATTGAGCAAGTCGACGGTATATGGAACAGACTGCTCATGCTTGAAGACGGCAAATCCGAAAGTGCGTTGTAATCCACTCCCATCTTTTGCTATCTTGACACTTTCTAGAGGCCCTGCCTGAAGAGAAAAACACATGTTAAATATAAACACGAAATGTATTTCCTACCAATGTCTTAATGTTCTTTTATTCTCTTTCGCCTATTCAATAGAGTTCTCTATATTCTTGTTGTTTATGCACAGCGGCGTGCGTGATGTCATAGATATATATTAGAATACAGGGGCCTGTTGTCAGAAACAAAATTAGTCATGAGAGTGAGAATAAACACTAAAAAATGCTGAAAAAAACTCGCAATGATCGCTTTAAGATGCCTACCGTTGTTGCTTGAGTAACAGTAATTGTTTGAAATAACAATAAAATGTCTTAGAACCGCATGCAAAGAAAAAATCATGCACGATTACAATTTTGCGTTCTCTTGTTGATTTTCGCGGTAATATCTCGCACTTTCTCGCGGTACCGCGAGACGTCAACAAGGGTACAGTAATGCAAAAATCGCACCGGAGATATTTTTGGTCAGATGTAAACACAGAGGTGCATATAGTAGCGTAACACAAACAAGAGTGTAAGTTGTAACCTCATAAATATTAGTCTTCAAAAGTCCTAGGGACTATAACGAAGACGGAGAGATAAGTGGATCAAATCCTCGTTGCGTACCGCCAGCGAGAATACTTATCACACACAAATAGATGCCCCTTTGTTTTAATTATGTTCGCTTGTTTGAGACGCCATTTGTGATTTTTGAAAGTCTTGACTCGAAAAAATGTATTGCTGGTATGATGTGGTCAAATCAATTTTTCTATGCTAACTGCATAAAATATTGGTGTTTTGAATGTTGGTGTAATCAGTGATATTTTCGCTGTCAGATGAGACTATATTCAGCTATATTTCGTTTTTCTGAGAAAAATTCTCGCAATGATCGTTTTAACATTAGTCTTAACATTAACTTTTTCTTTTAGACCGTCGACAGAAACGCTGCGAAGTTACCTGAATGAAAAATCGTAGCAGATTTCCTGATAACAATACAAAACAAAGCGCTGTCGACGGTCTACGAGAAAATGTTATTGTTAAGACTAATGTCAAGACTAATTTTGTTTCTGACAACGGGCTCCAGATATCTATATCAAGAGTTCATAATAGGAATTTATGATTTTTAAAATTAATGAAAATAAATTCTGAATTGCAATTTGATTCTGAATTAAAATCTGAATTATTAATTTATGAAAATAGAATTTTCTATTATGGACTCTATGCCTATGAACTTCTATTATGGAATAGGCGAACTGTAGACCGAATAATTCTGTCCCATATAACCTTTTTTATATTTTGGAGATGGTTATTGGGACAACGGGGTTCCTTGAAATTTCGTGAGATCGCATGCAAAATGCATGCGCTGCGAATGCGGCCCGTACGCCGCTATTGGCGCGAAAAAAAACCTACCGTTCCCTTCTACATGGCTTTACCTTGCTACTGATATGTGTATACATTCATTTCAATCGTTATTCACTTCTTAAATGATTGTTTTTCAGAGAACCCCGCTTCATTTAATTTTACTAAATTACGTTCGTCATTTACAAACAATCAGACCAATCAGAGTGAGTCTATCAGACCTCCTGCAGCGCCACAGACACAAGCGAGAACCAGGGGCTATTGTAAGCCTCGCTCTGATTGGTCTGATTGTTTGTAAATGGCGAACACAATTTACTAAAGTTAAATGAAGCGGGGTTTCTGTAAAACGATCTTTTAAGAAGTGAATAACGATTGAAGTGAATGTATACACATACCAGTAGCAAGGGAACGTAATGTAGAAGGGAACGGTAGGTTTTTTTTTGCGCCAATAGCGGCATACGAGCCACATTCGCAGCGCATGTATTTTGCATGCGATCTCACGAAATTTTAATGAACCGCGTTCTGTCCCAATAACCCTCACCAAAATATAAAAAAGGTTATATGGGACAGAATTATTCGGTCTAGGCGAACTGGTACTCGAAGTAAAGAAGCGAGGTACCTGCAGGAACAGTTCGAACAACAATTCTTCATCAACCTCTCGCGATATATTTCCAATCCACACTGTTCTGTTTTCATCATTCATGTTCGTCGTCGAAAACTCTTCAGCATAGAGAAACACCCAGAATGTACTGGAAATCGGAAAAAAAATCAAAGAACACAGGTGACAGGGTCAGGGGCCAATTCACAATTGTGGCAGAATCCTAGTTGTTTGGGTACCCAGCCGTCATTCAAATGTAGACTTTAAAATCGACAGGGCTCTTTTTCGGGGTCTTGGCTATCTTGCAATCTTGACATATCATAGACCATAGATATATATACAAACACAGAAAAAGCACTGTAGTGTTGGTGTGTTTGTATCTAATAATCTATGCATAGACGACAATGCTAACACGACACGCATAAACGTTAAACCTGTTACCGGATATGCATTGCTGCCATCTGGCGTTAGGGGACTCCAATCGTCTAACCGGCAAAATGTACGCACACTCTTGCACACTTATTGATACGAGAGGAGATTGAACACGTATATCATATGATATCATATGTGTGATCAAGAGCTTTAAATAATAACTAGGAGAGTGTTATAAGATCGAGGTAATAATACCTAAGGGAATACTAGGTAGCAATGCTGAGAACAATGTATACATAATACATGACATGTACTCCGGCCTGATGACATGTATACATTGTATATATTGCTGAGAACAATGTATTATTATATTGTTCTTAGGACCAATGCCAGGAGCGCCACCCACGGTATTCACACCAGTTATATTTAAAAAAAAATTGTATTCAAAATCAATTTTAAACCTAATTCCAAACTCGATTTCCAATTTCAAATTCGATTTCCAATTTCAAACTTGATTTCTAATTTCAAACTCGATTTCCAATTTCAAACTTAAATTCCAATTTCAAACTCGATTTCCACTTTCAAACTCGATTTCCAATTTCAAACCAAATTTCAAACTCGATTTCCAATTTCACACTAAATTTCTGATTTCAAACTCGATTTCCAATTTTCGTTTCAAATATTATGCGGCCCATACGCGCCACAATCAGTGGCCACGATACATTGGACTACATCGGACCAAACGCGCCACATCGCGAAAAATCTTTCGTAGCGCAGGCGATCGGCCGAAGCGCGCCATCCTAGACTGCGTCCAGCTTTCATACGCCATATCCAGCTGCGTAAACACCGGAAACAAGACCCTATCTGTCGGAGGGTTAGCGTCATTGACAACCGTGTAATCAAGTTGGAAGCAAGGAGTAGAGTGAATGAAAGAGTCTAGTCAGTCTACCAGTCTATCGCGCCCGCCTGTACTGTGCATATGTACTGGCGCATTGTATCAAGAGCGTATAAAGAAGGACCTTCTTAATACGCTCTTGATTGTATACAGCTGTTAACCCCCCCCCCCGCGCATACGCTATTACGCTATGCTATGCGCGCGGTATCGCTCATATGCTATTATACGCACACGCACACGCGCACGCGCACGCGCACGCACACGCACACGCACACGCACACGCACACACA